TCTCAGAGACTGGCTGTAAAAGTTCTCCATTGTCTTCGGAATAATGTCACTCTGAGCAATCATTTAACTAAAGGTGAATTAACCTTAGCAAATTGTATAAAGAACATGAAGTCGTCTACCATCTACAGTTCTTTAGAGGTCAAAAGCGTTAAGTTTAATAACCAAATAAATAATTCTTCAGACACCGATGAAAAGAATTATTTTTGTTGTACCTTAGAAATTGAATGGACCGAATCAATGTTCCTTTTATGGTTAAAATAGAATATGAAGTATTAAAGTTTGCTATAATCTAAGAAACTATGCATTTCTTTCAAAGAATCATGTGGCTAACCCTTGATTGTACTGATTTATATTCGTTGGTATTGGCTAACATTTTTCTAATTATTGGTGGGACACTACTAAATTAAAAAAAGCTTAGCAATTAATGAAAATAAAACTTCAAATGTAAATCCTATTAAATTAAAGAATACAATTATAAATTGAACAAATAGTCTGTCCTGATGGAGTCAGATAAAAATAGATATTTTTATCTGAAAAAAATAGAATTAAATAGTTACATATATTCTTTAGTAGCAATAGAATAATAATAAAAAAAAAACTAGAAAAAGTCATCTTCTGCCCCAGGAATGAGAGAATCTCAGTTTCTTTTATTTTGTTCATCAGTACATCCACGCTAGGCAAGGCCTCTTGTAAATTATTGTGGCTAGCAGGGAGTGTAAGTCAATGTTAGTTAGTGTCTTAATTGATTTGTAGTTGATTTTCAGCCCCCTTTGTCTTCCCGTTGCGGTGGCTGTAGTGATTTGGGTTGACATGTACTCGGGCTCATCTATGAAGGTTTATCTTTTTCTCACCCCCTTTTTTTTGGTGTGTAAAATGGTTATATTAGTCCATTTAGGCTGATAAAGCTAATGCTGTAAACCTCACAGCTTGTCTACAAGCTAAGTTTACTTTTATTATCTGAAGTGGGGAAGTTTGAAATCAGGGCACTGACTGACTTGGTGTCTGGTAAGGGACGGCTCCTGGGTTTGTAGATGCTGTGTTCTCACAGTGACAGAGGTGATGGAGCTCTCTGTGGTCACATCAATAAGGACTTGACAACAATAAGTTGAACTTGGACAACGTTTGGTGTACTTCAAAGGTAGTCTTTCAACTTGCAGATATTGGAAACATTTGCATATTCAGTCTTATTTACTAGTTCCCTGTTGTTTTAAATGCATAAAGGGCTGGAGCTGGAGCTTAGCAGTGGAGTCCTTGCCAGCCTGCATTCAACCTATTTTTGACCTCCAGCACCATGAAAATAAAAATAAAACAAAATAAAGATTGCTGGCTTTGATTCTTTTTTTTTTTTTGGGGGGGGGGGTGTTTCAAGACAGGGCTTCTCTGTGTAGTTTTGGCGCCTTTCCTGGATCTTGCTCTGTAGACCAGGCTGGCCTCGAACTCACAGAGATCTGCCTGCCTCTGCCTCCCAAGTGCTAGGATTAAAGGCATGCACCATGGCAGCCCGGCCGGCTTTGATTCTTTTAAGGCAGTGACATTGTTCTTACATTTTTTTTTTTTAAACAAGAGGTCCAATCTATCACAGTATAAAGTAAATGAACTAGATGCTCTTAGTCAAAGGGGTAGGTAGGGAGAACCTCTTCATCTGTCCTCATTCCTCTTAGTGGCATCTGAAGAGGCCCCTAGTGACAAGGAACACCCACAAGACCAGAAGAACTCTGTATTCCTATTATTATACAAAGTGTTGTTTTCAACTAAAGTTCTTTTACTAGCTAGAAAAACACGTAGCTGTTTTCATAACAAAAATCATTCGTAAGTCATTGAAAAATTTGCTTTGTTTTCTCTGGATTCCTGGGTATAAAATTATTTCTATAAGGATACACACATACACAAACACACACACACATTTTCAGGTACGTGTCTATAACTATAAGATGGGAGTAGGGGATAATAAGATCACATGAAATGGTTTAGAATTTCACAGATGCAATTCAGTTGAGTTCCATTCAATGAGCATTTATGGAGTACCTACTGTGCCGAAGCCACTATGCAAAAATGTTTTTCAGGATCAGACTTCCAAGGACAATACAGACTCTGTCCTTCATTTGTTTTTGATAATTCAGACTCTGTCTTACATTTGTCTTTGATAAAGTGCTCTCTGTCAGAGATTTTAACTTTTTCATGTATTTTAAGCATACGAAGTGTAAGATACCTAGGGAAAAGTTAGTCTGAAGTACATAGAATAAGTAAATCAATAAATTAACATCATTGAGGAGGTCAAACATCTTGTGGCCCTGGATGGGTAGTGCGTAGCAAGGGTCAAGTCAAACTGTCCCTGAATGGAGAGCTGTTTGGTCCTTCTTGTTTATTAATGTCTATCCATCTATACTAATGGATTTAGCATGAAAGGAAGTAAGGTGGGGGTTGGGAAGTGAGAGTCACTAAATCTCAGACTTCCATCCTTCATTAATATTAATGCTGTCTTCAACCAATGCAAGTTGGCACAATACAGTTTAAAAGCTTAATACAAGAAAACTAGTTCTGACACTTCCTTATACATTCATTGACATCAAGCACCAAGTGGTCTCATATTACACCATGTGCCTCATTTTTATCCAATGAAGAGAAATTTCCCTTCAGAACCAATTGGCCAGAATACTGATTTTGTGTGCCCTCAAAGTGTTTTATATTAACTTTTAAACAATTTATCTATCTATGGACTTATATTAAACCTGAATGAAAACAGATGACATACACAAATTAACTTATTTTTTAAATCAACATTACATAAACATTTCTCTTCATTAGAAAAATGTTCAATTATTCTGTTTGAACTTAGTCATAAGAGTCATATTCTTGCAGTTATGTGCACTAGGCAACTGTGGACTTTTGATTAACCCGGATAGTATGGGACCATATCTGTTCCTGGCTGGCTATGTATTATAAATCTTTGTGACTCAAGTTGAAGAAAACAAATAAAACCCCCACATAATACTACTTAAACTAAACACACTTTGGTAGAACTCAAAATAATTGCTTACAATATTCTAATAATCTTCGAGATCAAGAATTAAGTCTCAGAGAAGTTGTAAGTTTTGTTCAAAAATATTTAGTGAAACTGTGTTGTACGGTGGCACATGTCTGTAACCCAATACTTCCCAATACTTCGAAGGATGAAGTACAAGATTAGGTTCAAGGCTAGCCTTGGCTACAAAAGAAATCTTGCCTCCCAAACTAAATCAAACCAAACCCGATTGAAAAACAAAAGCTGGACAAACAGAGATCCCTCCATGAGCATTTGGCAAATTTGGTCCTTCTCAGGCCTTCTGGATGTTAATGTCGTATTCTTTGTACTCAAAAGATGCTGTTTATACTCCCCTGCGCTCTCACGTGGGATTTAGAGCCCCATTTGATCTCTCCGAGCACTTGAGCCAGAAAGAAAACAAAATATCGGGCAGGTTTTCCTGAGTGCACCCTCGGTCTCCTGCAGCTCGTGGTAAGCCTTTCCTTTACCTTTCAGTCTTCTTTCCTCGTAAACAAACTCCAGAGAGCTTATGCCAAAACTGAAGCAAAAAACTAAGAGAAAGCGCTAGTCTGTAAGAGCCCATCAAATGAAACCGGAAGAGAACTGAATGTATTTCAGTGTGCCCTACTTCTCCTTCTCAACATAGCTTGCTTTCCCATTTTTCTCACGTGATAAAGGAATCTGTGCATGAGGGCTGGTAAGAAGTGTGTGAGCAGACATGGATGGCAACAGACTGCCTTCCCCTTTTCTCTTTTTTAGATATGCAAGGTGGTTAGAGTTTGTAAATAGATCGTGGTGCGTTCGCCGCTCTCCTGTAAACGTGCAGGGTGTCACATAATGGTATCTTATACAGTCTGTGTTGAGCTGTCATGTCCAGACACATGGTAGATAAGATGTAACTTTAAGGTGAGATTCCTTGGGTGGCCTGTACTAAGGTAAGACCAGAAACTGGGACATAAAAATGCATGCAACCCAGTTACTAATTCCTGCTTAAAGTCCCACTTTATCATCTCTTGGTTACATTTGCATACTTCCTGTCAATTAATCAGAACCTGTTAACGTCTTCATCTAGTGTCCGTCTGGTTCAAAGCGGCAGTATCTAATGCACAAAGCCAGAATTTATCTTTTTTAGATTACACAGTTCAACTTGGAGCTCATTCTTCAAAGTTAAAGACGCAAGTTCCCGGGACAGGAGCGCTGAGAAAGGTCTGGAAGATGATTTTCAAGATTCCCATGTCTCTTTACTTTTAGAGGACAAAAGGCAAGTAAACCAAAAGGAAGAGAAACGGCTTTTAATACTGAGCAGAAACACGCACTGTAGACGTACAAAAGAGAGGCTTCATTTGAATTAGTAGTTACATGTTTTGCAAGCTCCCATAATGTATGTTTTTCATTATTTTAGTAAAATTAAAGAATGGGCACTCAGCTATCTTTAAATTTTCATATTGTTCATGCTACTTTGCGAATGCCAAATCATTTTGCTGTAATAAATTCCTGCACGGCGATTGCACGGATGCTAAAAGACACTGTAATATTTTTCTTTTAGATATGAATGGAAGAGAAAATATTAATCGATAGTTACATTTTTATGTTAGCCATTATTGGAATTTACTAATGAGAAATCTGACATGCTATTTCCTATTGCTTTAATATGCTATATATTATAAAATGTGTTTTTTTTTTTTTTTTCTGTGTTATGGGTGCTAACGGCATCATGTTAAAAAAAATCCTTCACAATTTCTTATGATTTACGGGAGGGCCAGCGATGACAAGGTGCGGCGGCACCCTGGCCTTTTTCCACTTTTGTGTAGGACAGGCGTGTGTGAAAAGTTGAAAAAGCCTAATTAGAAAAAGCTACTGAAAAATATTTTTAAAAATTCTGTCTTGTTGAGAGGCAGACTTGTTTTTCTAGCTGACAAATGTCTGGACTTCTCAGTTAAAAAAAAAAAAATCTTCAAGTGCTCATCCTGGCCTCTGCTCCTTTTGTCCTGTAGGTACCCCAAGCTGTGGAAAGAGAGGCCATCTGGGGGGGACACCGGCGGTTCCACCGAGCCAAGGTTAATCTCTCCTTTCCAGTCTCCTCCATCTCTCTGTTTATGGATGGCAGGCGATCTTCAGATGACAGAGTCTGGAAAACTGGTCTTGGGAGCTACCTCCTCAGGTGGTGACGATATGTTGTTGGCTTATTGTTGGCTTATATGTTGTTTGGGATATTTTTGTGTGTTTTGTCACATGTTAAGAAGGTGGCCAGACTGTACAATACGGGGCTTTGAGGTGGCTTTATCTTCCACTAGAGTTTAGCTGAGGGATTTATGGGAAGCTGCCACCTTGTGAGGTGAGTTACACATAAATGCCTTGTGATTTATACTGGAAAGATTCCTTGTTGCTCATTGACATAAATCTTATTACACACTATCCTTCTCAGATAGCATTCTCAACTGAAGAAATTATTAAAAAAAACAACAAGAAATAAATGGCCTTCTTTGAGTAATTTGGGGTGTTATTATGCATTAAAACTTTGCCACTTTCCAGCTGGGTTAGAGTTTTCACCTTAAATGGTCTCCCTTTGATTTTCCCAAGAGAACAAATGAGGCTTAATAAGGGGAAATAAAGAAAATTTGCAGCTCATTTTATCTTAAAAGAGCTACCACCTTTTAGCAAGCTAATGGGAGTGGAAACCCCATTTTGAGACATAAATCTAGAAGTAAACGCTTCTGACTTTGAAAAGGAATCGTCCTGGCAAGAACCAAATGAACATTATCTCCAAAAGCCCAATCTGAAGGCAAAAACAGATTTGTTAGTGTGATTATTAAAACAATTGCCACCTTCTGGTGTGAAGCGATGTCAACAGGGAACAATCAAGCAGGTGCCCTTGGCTTTGGTACAGTCAAGCACACAAAGCTACCGTGAAATAGGATTGGACGGGACCTTTCATTTCGTATGAGAATTAATTCTGTAAATGCAGTGGAGAGGAGGCAGCCTATTTCTCTGCCCCCAGAAAGCAGATAAGAACAAGTCTGCAGGAGGCCCCATTTTTTCCCTTACCTTATTCATTTCTTAGTGTGTGCATGTATGTGTTACCAAGGATCACGGCAAATAATTTATTCTTTCAATATTGTTCCGGCAAAGAAGAGGGGAAGGTGGTCAGAATTTTCCCAAAGGTTTTTGTGACTTAAAAAAAAAATTACACTTTTATAATCTAAATTGTTTTCTAAGGATTGAATTTAAAAGGTCACATTTCTTCAAGAGCAGCAAAAGCTTTCCAGATGCTCTCTGGTATTGTCCCTGAGAGAGTGAGGCTCCATCCTGGGCTTACTATGAGGCTTCCCTGGGAAGAGCCAATACACGTGTAGTCTGTGGCAACTCAGCTATGAAGACCAGCTCTTTTGTGAGTTGGAGGGCCCTACAAAGGGAGATGCCCCATAGTGAATGAAATTTACAATTGTATGTGAGCGTGCCCCCCAAAATTTCAAAGGCATAAGTCTTTATCTTAGGACCTTAGATGTAAGATCTCACTGACCTTAAACTAATTCAAAGTGGAGAAACAAATATTCATTGTATGATTAGACACACCGGTTTCTGTTGTTTGCGTCTCAATAAATTACCTTTTGTGAGAGAGCTATTAACAAGGCTTTGATCTTAAAAATCCCAGCATTTGGTACTTCTTCATCATCCACAGTTGATAAAGCAAATACAAGATTGAAAAGAAAAACCACAGACGAGGTGATCAATAACATATTTCTTCTCCACCAGGTTATTTTTCCCATGTACAAAATTCCTGTTTGATTTTTCAATTATTCAAAAGTGTCAGAATGATAGATACAAGGGAGTCACCAACTAACCAGGGAAATCTCTGTTTAATAATATTCAATATAAAGGTTCAGAATGATGCTTCATGATGGATTAAACTTTCCTCTTCTCTGCCTCATTAGGGTTCTCCCAATTTGACCCAATCCAAACCTATTACTTAATATATATCTAACAGTAAAATTGCATAAATATTCACTAGTGCAATAGAAACTAAATGAGCAGTTTCAGATAATTTAATTAAGTTGTAGGTCTTCTAATATAATTCCATAAGTATGTGAACTTTTAACTTGTGTTAACTCAATTTCCTTATGCTTTCATTTACCATTTGTTGGGGACATTACAGTGATTAGCCAAAGTCTTTCCAGCTCCTAATGTTCTTCATAAATTTTGATTTAAATTGACTGTCACTTTCTCATTATAATAAAGTAGATATCTGACATCTCAAAAGAGAGAGAGAGAGAGAGAGAGAGAGAGAGAGAGAGAGAGAGAGAGAGAGAGAGAGAGAGAGAGAGAGAAAACTAGTCTGGCATGTTACATTGTCAAGGACTGTAACTTCTTTCTCGTTATCACACCAAATTCACATTAAATGTCCCTTAGTAAAAACCACTAGGGCTACTTAGAACAAACTGGCTTGAGCATTGCACATTCATGAAAACAACTGGGCTCCCGTATATGGGAAAAATAATCGTCATACCATGTTCCCACATAGCCGTGTGTTGGTGGCTGTCAATGCTGAATGCGTGGCCTGCCAGTATTCAGGGGCCCTGTGACTTAGAAAGGGAAACAGCAACTGCTCCACTTAGGTTCAGGTCAGAGGCGAGCACCAATCAAGGACACTCAACTCAGCTGGACCGTTTTCTTAGTTCAGATAGCTAGAGGGAGGGAGCAAGTTACGCAGGTGGGTCTTTCATTGTTTTCAGTGAATACATTTATTTTTTAAGTAAACCACCCCTCCCCTCCCAACACGAGGTTGTCTTCCTACAAATATGTGTTTACTACCTACTTTATTTCCAATAAAGGGACTCCATCAATAAGATGCTGCCATGGCCAATTAGCCTCTTTGAAGTTATCCAGATGGACCAAAACCAGAGGATTCAGTTCAGTGACAAGAGTGACCTAAAAGTTCAGCAAGGATATCAGATATTTTTCCCCTTTCAGCGGTGGCATTTCTGAACTGTTTGGGTAAGAATTTGAGACCATGCAGAACTACTCAATAGCATCGGGAAGGCAGTGAGATACTTGCGTGTAAGGGAAAACCAGTCTCCCTGGCTAACAGTTTGCCTATAAAAACACTGCGTGTGCTGTTTGTCCTCACTACCTTCACTTGAGAAGGTGACGGCTGCTGCTTCTTCTGCTGCTGCTGCTTCCTCATCCTCAAAAGCTGTGTGTGTGTGTGTGTGTGTGTGTGTGTGTGTGTGTGTGTGTGTGTGTATGCCATGTATGTGCAGGTGGCCATAGATACCTGAAGAGGGTACTGGATTCCATGGAGCTGCTCTTACATGAAGTTGTGTGTTACCTGATATGCTGGAAACTGAACTTGGCTCCCTCGGAAGAGCAGAAAGTGCTCTTAACCACCAAGCCACCTCTCCAGTCCCAGAGTTGAGTTTCTTTAAATCACTTTTTTTTTGTTTTGCACACACCCCCCCCCCACATATACACACACACTTTTTCAAAATGATTATTACCTTAAGTACTAGTAAGACTGACTGTTTATTGGGAGCCTGCCATATGCTAATCAATTTATAAGTGTTTCTGTATATGTATGTATATATATATATATATATATATATATATATATATATATATATATATATATATACACACACACACACAACTCTAGATGACAACCTTTAGGATCTTTAGTTTACAAACGGGACAGCTATGGGGCTGGTCAAATGACATGGCCGGTAAGAGACACTTGCCACCAACACTGAGGACCTGAGTTCAACCCCTGGGACTTACATGATAAGAGAAGAAAACTGACTTCTGAAAGTTTTCCTCTGACCTCCACCTATAAACTGTAGCCTGCACACACACACACACACACACACACACACACACACACACACACACGCACACACACACACACACGGGAGACAATAAAAAGAGGGACAGCCACAGTATACTATGGTATAGAGAAATCAATTAAGTTATGGAAAGTGGACTTGGATGTATTTGAATTTTTTATGAAAGTCCAAAATTGGACTCAGTGTCCTTAGTCATTACGTTTTGTTGGTCATCTTATGGCCTTATTTTCTTTATTGGATTATAATACAGTGACGCTTCCATGTATATTTGTGAATACTGGAATTACATCTTTTTCTTAAAGACTTCATTTTTATTTTTATTCATACTTGTGTACATGTGTCTGTGTGGGTCTATACCATGTGTGTGTCCACAAAAAGGCTCAAAGATGGCATCAGATCCCCTGGAGCTGGGGTTGCAGGCTAGTGTGAGCTGTCAATCTAGGTGCCGGGAGCTGAATTTGGGTTCTTTGGAAGAACAGCGACTGCTCTGGAATGCTGAGCCCCTTTCCAGCCCCCTGAATGTTATATTTTAAGATCTGTTTGCTTTCTATTTGGGCCCAGGGATTGAATCCAGGGACTTACCCATGCTAGGCAAGGATTCTACCATTGAACTGTATCCTCAGCCCTGACATGTTTCTTAGGACACAAGTTACAACATGGCTGTACAAAATTTGGACAACCTAAAGATATTATTGTTTTATACTTCTGAGATATTTCAGGATTTTACGTGGTATTCAAGCGGTTTCTTTTCTGTTTAAAAAAATAATTGCGCTTGTACATAAATTCTGACATATGATGTAAATTACTAATTTATCATAAACATCTGATGTCGTGAAAACACATTTGTATAACATCACGTTTAATGGCTGTGTTTTTGAGTGCTTGGATTAGGAAAGAAGTGACTTTGCAGGACTGTGTCTCAACCCAAATTTCATGGCCAGCGTATTAGCTTCAAATGGGTTATAACGAAGTGCGAAGCGACGAGCAGCCTGCAAGAACAACACACAAGGTGTGCACCGCAGTGACTCCCTGTCCAATCTACCTTTCCTCTTCAGAATCTCTGCATTGCCACCCTGGGGTGAATGTCTTCCATCGGCAGCCAGCTCGTAATGACTGCTCCTCGACGAGATCGAATGAGAGTCATCATTGAAGTGCAGCAAGGTGGTATAAGGAAGGGGCTGAGAATTGTCGACCTCTGGTCCAGAGCCTTGGCCATTCCAGTGTGTCTTGCTTGCCTGCCTGCCTGTGCCTGAGGGGAGAAAATGGAACTGACATCTCTCCTGAGGCCTCCCTGGTCAAATGCAATCACGTTGACTGAAAGTTCCCATTGTGTTCAGCTCTCTAAACAACAATCCCCCTACCCAGAGAGTGCACTTTGGCCAGAGGAAGAGGTGATGAAGAGTCATCTGTACCATTGCTGACCAATTTCAACATCTCATTTAAAACTGCAAGGAGTCGAGGCCGGTTCTGAATTATGTATTAAACCTAGCTTCCAAATATAGCCTTGGCTGAGAATCTCAGCTAAATGTCCACGAAACATCAATCCTACAAATCACAGCTCTCACCCCCTTATTTGCTGTTCTGGTTGTCACTTCCTATAACTTTTCACTGTTGACGCTGGCATTCTAGTGCCCAATATCGAACCCTCAATATTAAACCACCTTCCACCTCCTTGCTCTTCACTCTGTGTCTTGAGTCATGAAAAGCACCAAGATCTCCCATTTAATGTCCTCAGAGTACATGAAATCTGTCTGCAATTTTGACGAGAGCACAAATTGTTACTCATTGTCCAGTGGGGAACACTTAGCTCTACCAGCCTTTCTCCAGTATCAAAGCCTCTATTATACTCTCGCTAATAATCGCTAATGGAAGCGGTGCTGCTCACGGCAATCTTCAGATTCATCAAGACCAGAGCTTGAAAGACTCCCCAGGGCCTGTGCTGCTGGTGCCAAGAGGAGGTCTTGGCGTCTGGATCTCTCCGTTCACTCTATTCTTCCTTCCAGCAAAAGCTTCCCATTCTACCCCATCCCCGTTCTCCCTTTCTTCCTTTCATTTCGACAATAGCTCATCATCAAAATGCAACTAATATCAAATAATAGTTAGTAGGTGATACTCCTGCCGTGTATCCCCTCACACTCCAGCTCCCCTTCAGTCAGCCTTTCAGTCGTTTAGAGGATCATTTCAACAACTGAAAATGTGGTCATGCTAGAGTTCCGGTGTAGTTTGTGGATAGGATACACATTATGCAAGTTTGTTGGTCCTCCCCGGGTTTTTGCTTATTGTAGTCATTAACAATTAGTCTTTCAGTCTCAAGAACATTATGCATTAAGGGGTGAAAGATGGGGCCATACAGGTCATTTATGATCACCATCTAACTCTGCCACGTATACTTTCACTAGCTGGCTCTTTATGTCAGAACCACAGTCCGCTTGCACAGGTACCATGTTCCCATCTGCTTAGGACCCTTATTTACGCTGTTCCCTGCCCTTTCTGGAGTGTCACTAAAACTCTTCTTCTTCATCTATTATTTACTCATTCTGCTTTGCTCTCCAGGAAACAAGTACAGGAACACAGGAACTCGTATTTGTTCTGATCACTACGGTATACAAGTGCTTAAACTCATGCCCGACAAGTAATAGGTACTGAGTAAACGCTGGATGGATAATGAATTCACTGCAGCATGATTCCCACAACAAAGCCGTTCGTGCCTTGCTCTACTCCAGAATTTGTTTGCTTTCTTTATGAGATGTGGTTATCGCCCATGTACTTTGTACTAGAGCACACATCTCAGGCTACGGTAGTACAATCATTAGTTAACCAGACTCTTTGAGGACAACAGAGCCACCACTACTTGGTATGTGCCAGTTATCACGTCTACCTAAAGCTATGTACTGAATGAAGAGATGAATAAACACCATGGCAATAATGCTACGTTAGGCATTTTAGTGATCTAAGGAAACTGGACTTGCTCATATTCTCCAGAACCTTATAATTACCTAAGGGGCAGGGGACCAAAACCTTCAAGTAGATAGTGGTGCAAAGTGATAGACAATTAACCCCCAGCATTTCAGAACAAGGGGCTCTACAAACTATGTTCGTCAGCCGTAACTTGACCTAGAAGTTTTGAGTGATTGTCATTCAATGATAGTGATGATCACGTGAGGTACCTAGACAACATGTACTTGTAGACGGCCAGAGCTGAAAAATCTGTTGTGGGCTGAGGAGAGGACTCCATAGGTAAAGTGTTTGCCTTGCAAGCGTAGGGAGCTGATTTCAACCTAGAACACACATGGAAAATCAGGGTATGGTGGTACATGCTTGTAGTCACAGTGCAGAGGAGGAAGAGATGGACAGATCCCTGAGGATCACTGGCCACCCAGACTGTGAGCTAATCTCCAGGACAGGTAGAGGCCATATCTCAAAAATAAAGGTACACAGGGCCTGAGGAATGACACCCAAAGTTATCCTTTGGCCTCGACATTCACACACATGTGCTTGTATACCCTCATGCATGACCACACATACACACACCCACAAAGAAAAAAAATCCTGTTGTATCCTTGAGTTCAAGGAAAGTGTATGGAAGAAGCTGGAATTGAGTTCTGAGAGGTTAAATTTTAGTCAAGCATCAATTTTCTATTATTAATTGCAAGAATACAGCCCTCCTTGTCTATGCAGATTTGGAGCTGGTAAACCTCAGCCTCTGAACCAAGCTGGCCATGGTTTTTGTAAATAGAGTTTTATGAGCACAGGGCTTTCCCAGGGTGCTCACATCCTGTCCATGGCTGGTTGCTGTCATAGTACAAGAGCAGAGCTGGGTGGTTATCGCAGAGATCATAAGGCCCATACAGTCAAAAATATTTACTGTTTGGCCCTTTTCAGAAAGGATTTGTTAGTCTCTGAGTTAAACTTTCAGGGTTGAGTGGGAGAAACCGCTGTAAAACAAAAAAAAAATAAATAAAATAAAATCGTATGAGCTGTCGCTTGGAAAAGACATGCTGGAAGATTCATGGGGGAGCCCTTGAAGGTTCAGTCAGCCCTCTGTGACGATGGGTTCTGCATCTGTGGATGCAAACAACTGAGCAACATATTGGGGGCTTGCTTTTGTGCTGAACACACACACACACACACACACACACACACACACACACACACACATGCACACACAATTTTTTTCTTGCTGTTATTCCCTGAACAATTATTTCTATAACTTTAAGATTGTATTGGGTATTATAAATAACATAGGGATGATTTGAAGTATATGGGGGGGGGGGATTTATGCAGCTTGTGTGCAAAGGACTGAAGACTGTCCTGTCTGCAAGGGGTCCTGGAACTCATCCCCATGGGTATGGAGGAACAGGTGTATTTAATTATGCATGAAAGGGACCTCCCCCAAATAAAGGATGTATGAGTGATTTTTTTGTTTAAAAACATTGATGTGTGTGTGTGTGTGTGTGTGTGTGTGTGTGTGTGTGTGTGTTTGATGGCTTATATGTGGAGATTGGAGGGCAACTCTATGGAGTCAGTTCTCTCCTTTCACGGTAGAGCGCTGAGGGTTGAACTCAGGTCATCAGCCTTGGCAGCAAGTGCTCTTGCCAGCTGGGCCATCTCATCAGCCTGTGCGGGACGTTTTTGAGGGATCTGAAGATCAGGAATTTGGTGACAAGGAAGAAGGGCAGGACTACACTTAGAACTGAGATGAGAATGAAGAGGTGAACACATTTTATTGGTGGAGAAATACATAGGCTTTTTCTAGCCTGGGCTGAAGCTTCTCATTGGAAGTGAAGGGTGAAGTCTATATCAAATGAAGCCCAGGAAAGAGTGCAGAAAACCAGGAGTGTAGGGCTGAACCATCTGAAATTCTCCAGCTAGGCAATGCGCATGTGAGATTTGAAAGCTCTTGTCCAGGGCAATGATAAGACAGAAGGGAACGGACTGGGGTCTCATTGGCTTGGGGTGAAGAGGATTGGGGAACCCTAGAGGTGGTCTATTGAAAAAGACTAGTGATAGGGAAAGCAAATTCAGCTCACAGATAGGACTTAATTTGCTCATAAAGTGCTTGAATATGAAAAAAAATGAAGTGTTACAGCTATAAAAAGGACAAATATTTATTTCTGATGGGTCTTTAAAAATCACCATGTATGGCAATATGGGATGCATTCTTGGGTGATGGTTGGCAGGTACAGGCCGAGTCACACTGGGTGGAGTTAGCAGAGCCAGGGCCTCCATTTTGGCCATCTTTAATCATGCAGCGTAATCCGTGGCTGTAGGGATTGGTGACCTGCTATGTCACGAGTCAGATGGACACGAAGTTTGAAGAGGTGGCTAATTTGGAAAAGAGTCCACACATTCACCTTTCCTACCTGCCCTGAACCCTCACCCTCATCTCCCGCTCTTCAGAAGCTGTCTGAGAAATCACCTCTTCCAATAATAAACAAGGGAGCCTCCCCACCCTCTCTCCCTCTCTTCCTCCCTCCCTCCTTCCTTCTCTCTCTCTCTCTCTCTGTCTCTCTGTCTCTGTCTCTGTCTCTGTCTCTCTCTCTCTGCGCGCTCACGCACGCACATACCTTTGATCAGAGAGAGTGGAGCTCATAGATGAACGCCTGCCTGGAGGTCACGATCTCTGTTTTAATTCCTTTTCAGTTATACCTTTCACCTTTTTCTCTCACTAATGTCTCACAGCACATCGTACCTGCAAAGCCACCACTCCAGCCCCGCGCTGCCCCGTTCCCCAGGACTTTGGTTTCCATCTCTCTTCCCTATGCCTTGCAGCCACAACAGCTTTTGTTGCTGCTTCTCAGCACAGTTTTATTTTTAATTCTTCCTCAAACAAAAAACTGTTGCTCTGAAGAAAGGTTTTTTTGAGGGTAGCTTGAGTTATATTCCCAACAGGGTTCTTTGGACTCCTTCATAGAGTGTTTTTCTTTCTTTCCCTGGCTGTTGAAAATAGATGACTGCATCCTTTCTTCCATATACTCATGGCAATATCTAACTTAGAGGGGCGGTAAAGTCCATGGAATGGTCTTTAATCTGTGGCCGCTCTTGTTGATCTGGGGGTCTTCCCTACCATCCCTGCATGGGATGTCCATCTTGCTGCTGATAACCTGCTCCATAAACAGTGCAGCCCCTACCATGGGTGCTGCTGAGCCTATGGTAGAGACAGGGCCAAGGTGTGATCCAGTTACACAAATTTTATGTTTGGAGAGAAAAAAAAAATGGTCTGGCTTCTGAAAAGTAGTTTAGACCAGAATCTTGTGTCCAAGGCAGGAGTGGGAACTCTGCCAGGAGACTTAATAACTAATATTTAGCATTTTATTAAATTAAAAAATGCATGCTACAGCATTTTGGAACTGGTTGGTATCAAAAATTGTGTTGAAAACCTTATCCTGATCAGAAAAGGTCAGCCATGAGCTTAATCCCATGCTGTTAATGTCTTCCTGCCTTGTCCTCGAAGAAAAAGGGCCAAAGTAGACGGTCCTGAGGGGCAGTGTGCCAAAGCTGTGAATGAAGAGGGGGATGGTGGAGCTGTGCTTGTCCACAGGGAATATTGGTTTTCATCCAGCTTCTTTCTGAGCCCAGTTGCCTGGATCAAGAAGTTGCTGAAAGCCCCAATTTTTCCCCAGGGCAAGGACTGAGATATGGGTAAGACTGAAGGGTTATGCAGAGTCCAGGCTATGACTTCCAAGGTCTGAGCCCCTCACCCCCTTTAATCTCTTCAACTTCATGGTTGCAGCTTGACTTTTGTACCTTTTGGTCCCTCTCCTGCTTCCTGGATTAGTCAATTTTGCCATGTGGTGTTGACCATAAGAAATACCGTAGACGGAGTGGATTGAGCAGCAGAAAACTAGATTCTCATACTTTTGATAACTTCAAGTCCAAAGCCAAGGCGATGATAGTCAGGCTTGGTTTCTTGTGAGGGCTCTGCTTTCATCTCACTGTATTATCCTTTTCTTTCTTCTGTGTGTGCACAGAGAGCCAGCTCTCTGGTACTTCTTCATCTTATAGTCACCAGTCATATTGGATTAGGGCCACACCCTTATGCTCTCATTCACTTTAATTACTTTTGTAAACTCACTATCTCCAAATCCAGTCAGGTCAGGTTGCAGTTAAGGATTGAAACACAGGGATTTTAGAACACAGTTCTGCCCATCCTATTTATCTCAGAGGGCTGATATGAAATGGACAGAGTAAAATGAGATAACATATGCAAAGTACCTCATCAAACTCCTGAGCCACTAGGGAATCCTGTCTAAAACCACAACAAACAATGTAAAGATTGTTGCTGGAAGAAAGAGTGCAGGGAGCATAAAGTATTTAAGACAAGAAAAAGGATGAAGAACAACTGGTTGTTTCAGAGTTTACTCTGTAAGCCATCTAATTATGGCTATAGCAGGAAAACATACATTTCTTTACTATTGCAAGTATTTGTTTTCATTTTTATTGGTAGAAATTTGAGTATTATATTTAGTTTTTTTTTTTCTGGTCTAGAAAAACTGAATCTACCTACTCCCATCTCTCTGCAGTAGGCATCACTTACTTTGACAGCTAGAACACTATGACCTGGGATGTGGGCTTGTCTAGCGTGTGTGAGGCCTTTTCAGTTCCACAAAATCCAACCAACCGAACCAATAAACAACAACAGTAACATGATCAAGCTGGGTTCAGAGTATATCTCAGTGATACAACCCTTACCTAGCATGAATTAGGCTATCACTTAGAATCCAAGCCCTACAACCCAAAGAAATACTTGACTGGACTGAGGTTGTAGCTCAGTGGTTGAGTATCTTTATGAACACAAACAATAAGTTCATGGCTGATGGATTGTTGTCGATCCACTGAAACCCATAGGAAGATTATCAGCACATCTTAAGCCTAGTACTTGCTTTATAGGGAACTCATTCTATCTTTTCTCAGGAGACAAAATGGAGAGCCAGTGGATTGATGGTTGATAGTTGAAAAGGACTACAGATGGTAGTTAGCTATGATTTTTATTTGGTGGTGCTGAGAAATCAAATTCAGGGCCTTGCCTATGCTAGACAAGTGCTGTGACACTGAGGTACACTTTGTTGCAGAATATTTGTTTACCTATGCAAAGATGTGTTGCATTTGTTTAACTATGTAAAGATGTGTTGAATTTGTTTAATTATGTAATTATGATGTTTTACCTTGTCTGCCTACGGCATCTGATTGATCTAATAAAAAGTTGAATGGCCAATAGTGAGGGAGGAGGTATAGGCGGGACTTCTGGGCAGGGAGAGTAAGTAGGAGGAGGAATTTAGGCTTGGGAGAAGAGAGAAAAAGAGACACCAGGGTCTAGCCAGCCAGACATGGAGGAAGCAGGAAAGTAGGACATAAAGAATGAAAGAGAGCTAAAAAGCCCTGAGGCAAAAGTAGATGATTAGAAACAGGTTAAATTAAGTTGAAAGAGCTAGTGAGACAAGCCTAAGCTAAGACCGAGCTTCCATAAGTCATAAGAAGTCTCTGTGTCATTGTTTGGGAACTGGCTGATGGGACAGAGAAAGAGCTCAGCTACATTTGATGCCCAATGTGGGGCTTGAAGGTCCACATAGGACCTGAGAAAACTGAAAACTGAAGCAAAACAAAAAACAATGAATGTGGCTTCTTTAGGAGGCGCTGCGGAGCACCAGGGCACTGGAGCAGCCAGCACACTAAGTAGAAACAGCAAGGTAAGTAAAAACTCCTGCCACAGTGTGGGCACCAACTTCCTAGAACTGGGAGGGTCAAATGTAGCTCTTGGTTGAACACAGTTGCTGGTTAACCACAGCTCTTGGCTAGGCCTGCAGGCTTCAGGCTCGGCTCTCAGGGACCCAAGGAGGGGGGAGAACAAGCTGCCAGAGCCACATGGTGGAGGGCCTAGATGCTACTTAGCAGTTTCAGGTTTGGCTCATGTGGTCAGAGAATGCTATAGGTACACAGTAAAACAGGTTTAAGCCACCTCCTCCCCCCCCCAAAAAAAAAAACTTTAAGCAGGTTACAGTGTGTGGAAGGTGCTAAAGAAAGAAAAGAAAATGGGTATAGATAGTCATAGGAAAAAATAAATAGTTTAAAAATAATTAAGTAAAGTCTTTAAAGAAAGTAAAGTAATAGAAAAAGAATAAGCCATGTGAAGATGGGAAGTATACAGGGAGTCTGGATCGTCTATACTTTCGTGTTGACTTTGAATTTTTTGAATGCTGATAAGAGAATGGTAGCTGCTGAGAGACATGGGATTGTAAAAGGAACTGATAAATTAAAAGGAACTGATACTTTAGGGATGTCTTAACTTTAAAATTGAAGTCAGAAAATGTATTGCACTTGGGGAGAGGAATCCTGTGGAAACAAAAGGCTGTGAATGCCTTCAAAGTTGATAGAGATCAGATTTGATCAGAGGAGACCTCCTGAAAATCTTGGCTACAGACATAAAGAAATAAACCAAGTAAAACTACAAGACAGGTGACATATATATGGATCCCTTGGCATGGGGACAGTTCTGTGACTGAACAACAAATGTTACAACTAGTTTTTCCAGGACTTGACCATTATCTCAATTTTCTCAGAATCCTCTAAAGATGCTGTAACCCCCAGATAATAGGAAGCAGTCTAGAGAACACAATATCCACATTCCCACGATGTGGGGTGGGTGGTATTTGGTCGTTTGGTGGGTTGTGGATGTCTGTCATCATTTAGGGGGAGATGTAAGAATATAGGATAAAAAGACAACTATTAATCTCAAATATTTTACAGTGGTATGGATTTTAGTATAGTGATCCAAATTTAAAGATATTTTTGATATATTGTATATATGTTTCTACTCTTGTTTAAGATATTGTACCTATGTAGCTCATTGAAAAATGTAATGTATAATTAAGAAATACAGATTAGTAGTTAGACATCTATAATAATCATAGATGTAGTCATATTGGGTGCATTTTCAAGGTTAAACAGATATATTTTAGAAAGATAGATGATCTTAAAAATACTTCAGAGACCTACAGAATATGGCAATTAAGATGTTTTAATAACATAAGGTTTTTTTCATGGCAGTGCAACATGTCTGCTCCTGGCATCACCAATCTACTTCAGAGATGATGGCCATTGAAGAACCTCAATATGGAGTTTGCTTTCTATGTAGCAAAGCTAGCTATTTGGATAAGAAAATCCTTGCCTTGACTCCTGACAGTATTTGGCACAAACTACCCAAGGAAAAAGATTATCTAACTTTACCAAGACAAGATAGGACAATCCTTCAAAATTCCTGCTTCAGAGAAAAGTCTGTCAGATACTCTAAGCCTGTAGGCTGAAGATGGATGCTCCAACATTGCAGAGGAACCTTGGGTGACTGTTCAAGCAGTAGGATGTTTCTGTCATTTCTATAGTTTTGGATGCTGCTTGCACTGCACTTCCTGTTTACTCAGGTAATGTTGTATCCTCAGACTCTGATAGAGTTGAAGATGAGAAAGTTTTAGTTATAGTTTTCCTTGTTACCAGATTCAGAAAAAATTTACATAAGAGATGCAAAGTTTATAAGGTTGAGACACATAAAAACTTGGATTGTTTATCTAAAAACATGTTTTGAGGTCTAAAAAGATAATTTTGGGTTGGTAAGACAAGTTAGAATAAAAAGTAAATTAGGTACAAAACTTTGGACTCACCAAGATAGGATAGATAATGGAGTATTTCTCTTAATTTGCCAAATACAAACGGACTGGATATTATAAATGTAATTCTTACTTGATAATTATTCTTATTGTATATAGTCTTACTATGTTAAAGCTAAAACCTTTCTTTTTATTTAGACAAAAAGGGGGAAGTGTTGTGGAATATTTAACTACGCAAAGATGTGTTGCATTTGTTTAACTGCATAAAGATGTGTTGCATTTGTTTATGTTATGGAATATTTGTTTAACTATATAAAGATGTGTTGCCTGTCTGAGGCACCTGGTTGATCTAATAAAAAGCTCAACAGTCAATACTGAGGGAGAAGGTATAGGTGGGACTTCTGGGGAGAGTAAGTGAGAGGAGGAAATTTGGCTTGAGGAAGAAAGAAAACGAGATACCAGGGAGACGCCAGGGGCCGGACAGCCAGACTTGGGGGAAGCAGGAAAGTTGGACATGTAGAATGAAAGAAAGCTAAAATGTCCCAAGGAAAATGTTAATTTAAAAGAGCTGGTGGGACAAGCCTAATAAGAAGTCTCTGTGTCATTGTTTGGGAGCTGGCTGGTGGGACAGAGAAAGAGCTCAGCTACACCACTCCTGAGTTTCTAATAAAGTACTTGATATTTCCAAGTCCTTTAAAGGCAGTTGAACAGTAGAAATATATTCATGGAAAGAGGGCATGAGGACAAAACAGTTGGATTGCTTGAAACAGCTTTGATCTGTGTGTGATGCTAATCTTCATTACTACCTGGACTTGACTGATAACCATCTAGGAGACTCTAGGTGTGTTGGTGATGGTATTTCCAGAGATTGATTGAAGGGGGAAGATCCATTAGGGCTATGGGAGGAACCATACCACGGGCTGGGCACCCAGACAGAATACAAAGGAGAATGCCATCTGAATGGCGGCATCCTTTTCTCTGTTGTCAACCATAGCTCTGCCCAGCTATGCTCTTCACACCACGATGGATGGACAGATACCTTTGAAACCATGAGCCTCAATAAATCCCTCCTCCTTTAAATCATTTCCTTCGTATATTTGGCCACAATAATTCAAAGAGTAACTAACACATTATGTATGTTTATTCAGACACAGTCTAATCTTTTACTTTACCCAAACAAGCTTCTCCTCAGTGCATTGGCACTCCTCAAAGACAGTTCCCTTTTTCCTCTTTATTTGGCTACTGAACTTTTAGATATCCTTTGAATATGATTTTAGGTTTCTGTAGCAATTACAAGACTTAAAAAAATCTCTGAAATATAGTAGTTGCCAGAAGGAGAAATGATTAAGAAGAAATATGAAGGGTGTGATAAATGATGAGAAGTACCATTATGTCTGTCTAGGATAATACAAATGGAGAGAGAGGAGATTCAGTCAAACTTTGAGTCTAAAAGGAATTGCATGATTATACAGCATCCTGCAGGTAGCCCAGCAGGGAGGAATGGTGGCAGTTGTTTACATTTGAAGGCACTATCAAAGAGATGACCCAGAAAACCCAGCCTTCAGAGGACATTTGTTTTCTCCAAGCCATGTCTCAGGAACCTGGGGAGAAATGAGGACATATTTTGAAAAAAAAAAAAAAAAAAAAAGCACCTACATTGATACATTGATAACATTTAAATAGAATGGCTTTCCTGAATTTGTGTTTATAATGATGTTTTTTTCACCCCTTCTCATGGGAAAAGGGACCAGTGCTCTGTGTACTAAAGTTTCAGGAGCCAGAGATGGCTTTGGGAAACAGGCCCCGGATTTTCTAGATTCACCATCAATGGCAAAGCTAGAGGACTAGTTGGATACAAATGAGAAGGAGTTGGTGGATCAAGTTGGGGAGGCAGAGCATGAGCTGTTCCATCAGGAGGGGCAGTCAGTGAACTCTCCCTCGGAAAAGCGGGAAGCAGACTCAGGATGTGGTGAACAGAGAAAGCACAATGGGACTCTCAAATTATGGAAGGAGAAGATGGCTTCCGACAGCTTCATCTTTGTCACGGGATACGATCTTTCGGACGGTCATTTCTCCATTGTAATCGAAAGGAACAAGCCTCATCCCTCAGAAAGCAACTGAAAATCAACTTCATTTCATGAACCTGGCTTCAATTTCATTTGTACATTTCTGATTTATGTATGACCGATTTTGTGTTTTCCTGGTTCACTTTTTTTACTCTTCCATTCTGTGTGTGTGTGTGTGTGTGTGTGTGTGTGTGTGTGTGTGTGTGTGTGTGTGTGTGTGTGCTGTTATTAGAGACTGTGTAACTATGCAAGAACAAACAAATGCTTGATCTACCCTTAAAGGAGGTAGACAGTCAAGGGGGATGAACATGATCACAGTAATGATGTACTGTGTCTATGCATTACTGCTTCCCTCTGAAATTCAATCACATGGAATTCCTTGGAAGACCAAGTCTACACCTACTGGCCATGTCATGCTTCATTGTCTCCACCAAGCCTGTGGTGCCTGCTCAGACACACTCTTTGCTTTCTTCTTCCCTTAAAAAGTCATATCTAACACTCATCTCAACTACGACCCTGGGAAGCTTTTCCTGCCTTCCTAGTCATATGCCAATGATCACCAATATCATGCCATGTCATTAAAGTGCCTTGTGTTACATGGTCTATTTAACTGGCCATCTTGACCTTGATGAAGAGGGGTGAAAAACTTGTATAACGGGAATCTTATTCCTTTATCCCCTATGTGTGCTAGTATGTGTGTATGTACACATGAGCATCCATTTATATGTGTTTCTGGTGAGTGTTCCTGGTTTTTGTAAGGAGAAGAAACAATTAACACTTGTCTAGTTTATAACGTATCTGGAAGATTCTGAATTTAAAGGGTTTGCCCACTAGATTAGGCCTAACCCAGGGCAGGCAAATACAGGGTACATGTTGAAGTTGACGGGCCCACAAAGAAGGTGTTAGTGATGTATAGCAGACAGGAACTGGTTGAAATTGCGGCAAGTATGGCTCTAATCAGGCCTTCCCTGTCAGTCTCTTCTAGTTTCAGTGAGCAAGATAAGGCCAGAGGAGGAGGATATTGAAAATGATGGTTTTATTTCATGGGACACAAAGCAATGTGATAGAATATTAAAACACCTTAGAGTGAAATGTTCGATCATTTCATGTTGGAAGCCTAATAGGAGTATTTGGCTCCCTGTGGCAGAAATTACAGTTTTTCTATCTCATTTATTATGCTCTTTTTTTTTCAAAGTTCCCTCTACAAATTCCTTAAATTCAGTTTTTTTTTCCTGCTGCTTTTGTCTGGCTCTACTGTTGACACAAGCTAGTTTTCATTATTCGAAACCTCACTCACAAATCTCTTTCTTCAGTCAGTGACCCGCAAATTGACAAGCCTTTCTAAACATACTTTAATTTGTATCATTTTTACCCCATCATACTCTCTTAATTTTTTAAAATCCCCTTTCCATGTGGAAGTTTGTATAATGTCTAGTGCCTATTAATTTGTATCAATTTACAGCAAGCATTTCAGTATAATGTGAAATGTTCATTTTTAATGTTCACACTCATAGATAATGCATAGTATCAAGTTTTAATATAAATAATTAACATATTTATTCATCGTTCACTACCCAAATCCTTCATGTTTACAGCCTATAACTCGAATATTTGGTAGGATTCATTAAAATCCATCACCCAAAAATATTATTTGTGACATCTTTGCACATATGTGAGCAAGACATGTTACTAAGATATTTTAGGAAAACTTGCAATAAAATGAAAGGAAGTTTCTTACTATTACTTAAAAGCCAATTAAATATTCTTTGGAAAATATAATGTTGAAAGCTGCTTCTATCAAGCAGAGAAAAAAAAAATCACACTAACCCCCTCCCCCCAATATTTCAGCTTCAGTAGTACATGTTAGCTCTTAAAATGAAAATTTTCTTAATTATTATCTAGGGGACCAAAACCTGTTTATTGTTTAGTAAAAGCAATTGGGTTTTAAAAAATGTGATTCATAATGAAATTTTGCATAGAGGTATTTTTTTAAGTTTACTTATTCATTTACTTTTGGTTTTGGTTTGGTTTTTCAAGCCAGGTCTTGTTATATATCCTAGGCTGCGCTCAACTTGTAATCCCCCTGCCTTAGACTCCTGGGTGCTGGGACTATAGATATGCACCACAACTCCTATCTTAAGTTGAAGTAATTGAACTTTTGTTGTTATTATTCATAAGAATGGGGAACATCTTCCAGTCTTCCCTGTCACACCCCTTATTTTTGTAGTTCTTTACAAAAACATGAGCCCAAACATGCCTGTTGAATTAGTTACTTTTCTGTTGTTGGGATAAAAAAATACCACAAACAAAATCAATTTCATGAAGAAAGCATTTCTTTGAGCTTGCAGTTTCAGAGGGACAGTTCAAAATGGTGGGGAGCATGGCAGCAGATGGCCAAGGCAAGAAGGTGAGACACCATCTCTTCAGCCACAAACAGGAAGCACAGAATTGGAATTGGGGTCAGGGTATGAACTATCAATGCTTGCCTCAATTGACATAGTTTCTCTTGCAAAAGTTCCACCCCCTAAACATTCTACAACCTCCCGAAACAGCACCACTAACCAAGGACCAAATATTCAAGTACATGAGTTGATGGAGGACACTTATCATTCAGACCACAGCCGTCTTTGTCTGGCTCACTCTCCTCCAACTCCATTATGAAGGTGATTTACTACAAGTGCCAGAAGACTTTCTAAGAAAGAACCTGGTTTCTGGGTTACATGCAGGTATATTCAAATTGTGCCTCCGTAAGCTAGCTTCTGGAATTCTCTGAGCTTCAGTTTCTATACATATTGTGGAAAATATCCCTGTCTGTCTCAAGGAATGTCTCATGCACATTATACCCAATATGGTCCATGATGTACAGGGCATTCTAGAAATTCCTCTCTCTCTGTGTGTGTGTGTGTGTGTGTGTGTGTGTGTGTGTGTGTGTGTGAAAGCACCATCCACCAACACAGTGAAAACAGTGTAAATAATTACAACCAAGCTCACAATAATGTAACTACACAGGGAAAAAAATGGTCTTTAAAAAAAGAACTCAATAGAGAAATCAGACTGTCAGTCAATGATAACACAAACTTTTAAAACATAATTAAAAAGTGTTTCAGAGTTAGGAGATTAAAATCTGTTGAGACCCGGGATGGGTAGTAGTCCCGCACAGAGCGGGGAATCCCTCCACATTGGAATGGCCTTGGAGAAATCACTACTCCTCCTGCAACTGAGTCGACTCGTATCTCAGGAGGCAGCACTCAGCTTCTGCAGGAAACAGAGAACTCTTCAAAGCCCACCCAGGGCTTTCTTTATCCTTTGCTGCTCCCGGGATTTGATACATTCTGGAAGACTAGTTTTAATTATTGCTTTGGGTCCTATCTCTTGAAGCCTTGGTCAGGCACGTCATCCGTTGATAGTGCCGGGCTGACTTTTTATTTAGGTCTCCAACTCAAACTAAACATACCAAATGCCCTCGCAGCCTTCACTGAGAGATGCTGAAGTCCAAGTCAGGCTGGGGAGGAACTCATTTGTGGCATGAATAAGCTGCTGATGTTAGCTACAGCCCAGCACCATCGGGTCCTTTCATGAACACTCCATCCATCTAAGATGTGTCCTGGCCAAAGATGTCATATCTAGCTCCTGCAGCTGTGTTTCAGCATCACTCAACCAGGGCAGATAAGGTTAATATCTCAAAGTTCTTGAAAGGCAGGCTGCATGTCTCTCCGTATAGTGGTCTTACACTTTTCTGTTCAGATCCAAAGGGCTACAGTGTAAAATAGGGAGTGGCGCACAGAGGAAGAAAGACAGAAGACATTTGGACTGATAAAATAAGGAGGCTCCCAGAGCAGATACCCACTAAGGCCCCAGTATAGCGAAAGGAGGTGCCATTCAAAAGGTGTGGTGTGGATTCACGTCAATGGGCCCCCTATGTGCTAACTTATTTGAGAACCCTATTTTTATGTGCAAATAAGTAAAATAGTTGAAAGAACTCTAATTTTAATAATAGCAAGCACATATAGAAATGAACAGATGATTGAAAGGACCTAGGAAAGAGAATCGGGACTTGCCTAACTTCTGCTCTTAAGCTAATTTATTATGAACTTAATTTAAGGCACAAATGTAGAGTGAGGTGCAGCACAGACCAGAACCCCAATCTCCTTGTGATTATTATAATTATTGATGCTGTTATCACTAGTTACTATTGAAAAATAATTCATTGTTTTCTATAAAGTATTTTATAAACACAATCACATTAAAAGTTGACTTGAATACACATTTTGCCAAAAATGATCTGTAGATGGTCAATGTGCATAGAAAAGGATGCTTAATATTATCATGTACTAGGGAAATGTATAAGAACATCATGATTAAAAAATCATTTAATGCTTGCCAGACTGACTGTGTGCTATATGGTGTGGGAAATGAGGAACAAAATCCAAATTTTCAGCTTTGGATGAGTGAATGTATTAAGTATATAGCAAGCCAAAGTAA